AAAAAAAAAAAAAAAAATAAACCAACAGGTTCCTTTAGATCTTTTGATTTATTGAAATGGAAACAGATGATTCGACACGCAATTATGATTTGCTGAAAGTTTTCAACTGAAACCTTTTTGCCAAATTATAATTACAATTTTTCAAGAATGAATAGTTAAGCAATAGCCGTTGTTTTGTCTTCATTTGAAGCAAATGAGACGCATTTGAATGCATTCTTTAAAATAGACCGTAAAAGTTTACGACTGTAGTGACATAAAGCTGTTTTATTCGATTAAAAATTAAGATGCAGGTATAAATGTAAAGTAATGTTTTATTCCAAAAGAACCGAGTTTCAAATAGTCGTTTTTTTTTTTTTCCAAAAATCGGTTATTGACTTGAATCTTAAAAAGGATTGTTGTCTCACGTGTCGTTATCTTATTTATTAATCGGACCGTGCGATAGAAGACGGTGTGTTGAACTGCGCTGTTCAGAGTACCGCCAGCACTTTAATGATTTTCAAAGTATTGTGTTGCCACTAAGATAATGAGTAAATTTTCTTTATTTCAAAACATGTTTAAATTCAATTTTAAGAACAAGTTTGCTTACCCGTTGAAGTTTCTCTCGTTTATTCATATTTTAAAGCGACTCAATGTTAAAGATTAGTCCTGAAAAGGTGGCGAGACATTAAAATAGTTATGGGATGCTTAAGCGACTAAGTAGTTTTAAGGTTACGAGATATTTTAAATTTATTAAAGCTTTGAAAAATGACAACCCATGTCAAAAGATCAGATGAAAACTGCCCCTCTGAGGCCAAAATTCATCAGTGTAACAAGTTACTTATTCGAGGTGTTTTCAAAAGTAACTCACATTAAATTTGACATTTAAAGAGTTTTCTTAAGCTTCGAAGCAGAGTTCCCCACTTGATTGGGATTCACTGTGACGATTTTTAATGAACGATTTGTTTTATACATTTCGAACTTTTGAAGCAGCCGTCATTCGTTAGGAAATGTAAACGAGATACACTCTCTAGCATTTCACAGCGTAATTGATT